ATGGAGAAAAGATCCCGGATTTTTTAAAAGATCTAACAAATCCCAAAAAAATAAGTCCCGGTAGCCCCTCACCAAAAGTATTGCCTAAAACATCGCTGAATGTTATAGTAATACACTATTTCACAAATACTTCTTCTACACTTCGTGCGTAGATTCACTGGCGCCATGTGCAACCTCTGTAAAAAAAGCTGATTTGTTGATAAAAAAACACACACAGAAACACAAAAACAGGCGAAGTTAAATCAACAGCACATAGATATCTTTTGTCCTGCGGCGATAAGAAATTTCTCACCGAAAACAAAAAACAAAGAAATCGTAGTCGACAGAAAAAAACAGTAAAAGAGAGCAAACCAATATAATTATTCGGAGTGCTTTAGTTTCAATTAGTTGATTCTGGTACGTATGTTATTGTTAAATCTTGAAAACCGAGAGAAAACTATTAGAATAGTATATATAATTCGTGTCAGGATTCGAAGAATATAGGCTAGCTATTTACTTCCACTCTATTCATTAATTTATGTGATTAAAAGGATATGAAACCAAAATCAATACGCTATAATAGTGAATTTCAAGAGATCATATGAAACAAAAGATAGAATGCAATCGTAACCCAAGCATAAAAGTAAGAATTATATTGAGGGTGTGGGTTTAAGTCACTACACCGCTCATACCATTAAACCATTATATTTTTGATTTTGATTTTGATAGAAATACAGAAGTGTGTCGTAAATTCAAATATCACATGAAGTATATAGCCTTTGATGTAAATATGATGCAGCTACTACAACACTGACACAAATGGTCACATTTATTATGCTAAAACGATTTCGATTTTTGAAACGTTCGAGTGCTCTTATTATGATGAAAGTAAGATCCAAAGAGATCCCATCGACTATTCGCTCATCAGCCATAGGATATATGTAGTATACTTGACACTTTACTGGCGATGCTGCGAAATAATGTTCGAAACAGTGAGATACACGAGCTTTGCTTTCAATCAATATCCGTTCAAGATATGTTCTGTAGCATTGAAGGCTATCGGCTATCCCTCAGAATCTGACATATATTTTATTAAGTACTTCCAAATAATCTACACTCTTCGAACTAAAAAAGCAATATTTTTTTAAATTTAAATAGCTAATTATTTTGAACATTTACATCAAATGGCATATTTATGAATTAGATTATTCCGAAAATAATAAGGTAACTGCAATATTTTGCAACATTTGCGCTATGTTAGGTTTATTTTGAAACAATAAACGACATTACTACACTATTTTCTTCGCAATTTCTTTGCTTGAATTTCCAGATGTCTACAAATTGTTACATGAGTACATACACGAGTATTTGTTTTGAATGAAAATGTTTTCATTAAGTACATAATTGTAATTTGTATCACGTAAGTTACATCATACAATACCAATTTATTTTTCCAATAGTTTTAAACTAGAGCTGCTTATTTGGTTTTGTTTTAGACTTAATCCAATAGCAGTAATAATAATTCAACGAGTCTGACAGACTAGGAAGATCTATTTTGATTTTGATATTTATTTTTCAAATAAGCTACGTACTAACATATTTGTATTAGGAACAGCAGATGCGTTTAAACCAATCAGTACACCATGAAGACGCACATGCTCATAATACCTCGGCGCATTGCAAAAGCTTTATTCAATTATTAATAGATTTTTACTTCTTACTCCGGAAACCTTCGAACGACATTTGTAATAATTTTCTATTTTCACTGCACATACATTAGAATGTCTTTTCAAGCTCTGTATCCCTTCAAATGTGAACTGAGTACAAGAGCATGCTATAGAGCTCAAGTTTTGTAGGCATGAAGGGAGTAGCTAGTTATGTATACAAAAAATTCAGCTGCCGATCTCTTTGTTTGTTGTTGTTGTTATGATGATTTCTATATATAAATAATTCTAATTTTGGGTCTTCGCGAATCTCCAACAGTATTCTGTAATGACGAGTGAAAAGCTATTCTTTTAATTTTAATTTCATAGAAGATACCTAGGGCGAGCGATCATCTTGGCCTTTTTTTTATCATTTTGTTCTTTCTTTCACTTCGGGACCTGTGCTGCTAAAAACAATTTTATAAAAATAAGAAAACTCAAAACATATTGAATTTTCTAAGAACAGAAGTTAATTTTTCTTGAGTATCAGCTTTCAAACAAAAAGCGATATTTAGCTTTTTCTTTTGTTATAATAGAATTTAGTCATAGACGCGTTGATGTATCAACCATATGAGAAAGCTTGAAAAGAAAGTACAGTTATGTTTTCTATCTAATGTTGATTATTTTGTCATATAGTGATAAAGTTGCATAGCGCCACCTATTCTCCTTTTGTGATTGATTGACTTTGAATCTGAGACCTATTATAATCATAATTTTGAAATTCTGATGATTAACTGTTTACTTTTCTTTAGAAATAATCACCATTAAGGGAAAATCTGATGTCTTTCTGTAATTCTGTAACCTAGATTTTGCTGCACTATTTGCATGACAGATTTCTCATGACTCGAAACCACTCATTTAATAGAAATTTGATTGTAACATTTAAAAGCGTGAAATGTGCGCTATCTAACTATACGTCACCTTGACAATTAACCGTTTTCTTTTGTCATAAACGTTTTTTCACAAAATGTATAGATTCAGAAAAGCATCTTTTTGAGTGAGGTGATCAAACTTTTTGGTCAAAACTTTAGATTCTTAGAAAAAAAAATTGGAAACTTGTATAAATCCATACACTAAACACTTCAAAGTGTTAGCTTATGACTTTACCTGAATGCTGAATTTTTTGACGATAATAGATAATTTGAAGGGGGCAGAGGCTTAACATAAAAATTATGAGATTCAAAGATTTACATTTCGCTAAATCAAATGCAATTGAAATAGAAAATTCTAATTTAGCAGATACGCATTCTACTCATAATATTCATCAAGTTATATCACGATGCTATCAAAAATCAAATGCTATTCAGTAAATAAAGATATCGAAAATTCATTCTTGATCTTCAGAAGCCACCTTATGTAAATGAATAGCAAACAATGAAGTATAGCCTTTTAGTAATGTTTTCAATATAAATCATTATTTTGCTACTATAGAAAAAGGTTTAGGAACGAGTTTGTCTATGGATGTAATTAAATTTGTAAATTTTGTTAAGGAGAGGGTTTACATTTACATTCCTCTTGTTTTCTCTTCACTAACGAACAATCGTTACGCTTTAGCAAACAAATCTCCACATATCTGCTATTTTTACATGGTAGCAATGAATAATAGAGATCAACCACAATATGACACTAACCCAGAAGCAGTTAATTCTTATATGCATAATAATTGCATTGAACAACATAAAATCAATCGTTTACAAATATTTCTTATTGATTTAATTTTCTTCTAGAATACGCTGTACCAGTACGAAATTTAAGATTATTTTCCACACGAATGAATCCTCTATCAGTAAGTAAATTGTTCTAAATTTTGAATTTTATTTTAAATGATTATTTCTATTACAATCGTCAGAAAATACTCAATGGCAATGCAACAACTCCATTGATGCCTTCAACTGGCCCAAAATCAATAGTAAGTGTTATTTTACATCGTGACCACTGAGAGCTGTAGTAATACGTGTGCAGTTACCTGTTAGTGATTGGAGATCAGGCGTTTGGGAACCACCTTATCCACGGATACACCAAGGTATTTCATCAACATCAATACTTTACCACTCTATATTTCGATAGTAAGACAGAGCTTCTGACCGGGTCCTTTCAGCTAAGAAGTAAAAAATGTTTCCGTGTGAAATATAATCAAAATTAGATAAGTAAAACTTTTATTAATTCAAATTGAAGATACATAGACAGAGATATGAGTGAAAATTGTATATCAGCCCTTACCCATATTCTTCGGCTCTTCGTCAAAAAGTAGAAACCATTAAAATAGTAGACAGCACGATTCAATCTTTCTAGATGCCTGAGTTTATGTGTTCTAACTTAATGGGTTGACTATTGTCTCCTTTTGTGAGACGAAAAAAAACTTAGTGTTACGTTTCGGAACATCAGTATTTCGTCACGAACATTGTATGTGTGACCACAATGCGCGGTATTTTTATGTTGTAGTAGTTCAGAATAAAGAGAGGTCGAATAAAAGTGTCGATTGTCTTGCTAAAGAATATTTATATTAAAGAAATGGTTTCCGAGAAAAACCACTTTAAGACAGACAGAGCATTGTAGATGACAAGGAATTTATTATCATTTATCGATCAATACTTTATTTTTCTTTGGTTATTTAGCCTGCTGATCGAATAACTACAGTTCGCGATAAAACCAGTGTAGATACATCGAAATCACAACCAATAACACCCTTACCGGTAGCTACATCATTCGGTGGCATTACATCACAACAAACACTAACACCAACCAATAATGAAAAATCAACATCTCCAAATCACCGTTTACACTATGATCGTCATGAACTTTTACGTATACGTGATAGTTCAGGACCATTTACGATACCGAAAAATCTCCCTGATCTTGATATTGTTATCATTCGACGTGATGATAATGATGCAAAATCTAATCGTGTTGGTAAACAAAGACAAGAATTTATCAAGCCTGCATGTGATCGACAATTATCATCAACTAATCATCCACCATTGACATCTTCTCCAAATCATGTCAATGTTGTAGCTGACTCAAAGCACAAAACAGGAACTTATCGATCAACTGAACTTGATTTTGATAATCGTGTTCAAAATCAATATACATCAGTCGATCAATCGAAAACCGAGGCGAATAATAAACTCTTACGTTATATTAAAGCAAAATTAAATAATATGACGCAAGAAACATTCGATGCAACACTGCACAAACTTAAAGCTTTATAAATCAATTGTTACGAAGTATTGGACGGCATGGTAACCTTAATTTATTCCAAAGTAAAACATTTCGCTTCTTTCAAACAGAAACAAATTAACTTTATTCTTAAATAGGTTGTTGATGAACCAGAATTGAGCGATCTATATGCAAATTTATGCAAACAATTTCAAAAAGTAAAATTTGTATTTTTAGAATGACTTGAAATTTTATTTGAATTTGTTTCAGAAACAGGTCACGGTTCCGGGTGATGATGGCAAATTAGTAACATATTATTTTCGTCAAATATTATTAACACGTTGCCAAAAAGAATTCGAAAGCGATTATAGAGAAGAAATTGAATATGAAAAGCGTAAAGCTGAAGTTG